TATATAAATCGATTTTAGGCATTTTTATTTGACACCATGACACAATATAAATATATATAAAAAAAATATTTCAAAAACATAAAATGACCAAAGTGCCCATGACATATTCCAAGGGTAGTCTAGTCATTTCAAGCTTTGGGAAATATTGGTTTTATATTTTTTTGTGCAACCTAATATATAATACGCGCGCCCATAATTTCATTTTGATCCAATTTATAGAAAAATATTAAAGTTCAAATAGTAACATACATTTTCAACTATCCAAGCAAAGATTTGATGGTTGAGAGCATAAGCCAAAGTACTACTCATTTTAGGTCACAACCTATTGGTAGTGTTTTTTTTTGTGTGTGTGTGTGCACGGGAAACACTTAGGCTAGCCCATGGGTTAACACTATACAAGTTCGGTTAATGCTATACAAGTTCCTCAACTCCTCATGTTTGGAATTAAGTGAACTTTTTTGGGGATGGTCTAAAAGACACCAGATGAACAATTTCAAAAAATAAAAATAAAAATGGATTTTGACCATATATAACTGTAGTAGGTCTAACATGCACCAAAACAAATGGCTGACAATACATGATATTTACTCTATTCAAAAAAATATTTTTCAGGTTCTTTTTCTCAATTCATTTTCATGAGGCCATTCAATGGAGTCAAGAGGATGTGCGTGCAAAAAATGGCCCGAAAAAATAACCCTAAAACAATGTGGTCTAGGGGAGCTTGGACAAGGTTCGCTTATAGGCTAACATAATCTTTTTTACTTTTTCTGATATATATATATATATTTGTAGACAAACACACGTGCACACACACACGCACGCACGCGCACGCACACACACGTGCGCACACACACACACATATACATATACATACATTCTCTTTAACACTTTTCTAAGTATTAGAAAGATAACATGTTGGTTGGAATGTGATTCAATAAAGTTTGTTGTGGAGGGAAGCACTCCTGAACCTGGTGGGGATAGGGGACCTAGTCTTCCAGACTAGCTGGGTTTTTCTTTGAATTTCATCATAGGTGTTGGACTATTGGGCACTAATCAAAGAACAATATGTCAGAAATTCTTTTACAAATCCTTTTACACTTAAAGAATTGATTGAGAAAGAAATGTCGAGCAGAAACGTGGGCTATCCATCTTTGACAGAAAAGAGTGAGAGGTTATATGAGATGGGAGTACGGGCTACAGTATATGTAGGTTATTAGGTCTGGGTGGTTTGAGGCATGTTGACCATTCACAGGACACACAAGGTTCTGGAGAGTGGTTAAGTTTAGCATGGATAAAAATCAGAAAGCAGATTAAATTTAAACCCTGAAACTACCAAATAAAAGGGATTTCCTTAAAAGTTCAGCAAATGGCTAAAGGACCCGATCACTTGGGAACTAAAATTGTGAGACTAAAATTCATACTCTATATACTATGTAAATTAACAAGTTGCATCCAGAGAAAACAGAAAAATCTGTAGAAACAATAAGCAAGTCGTGAAAATTTGAAAATGCTTTCATGCACAAGTTGATGAAAGTACATACATGCACTATCTCCTTCTTCTTGTGGACTTCACCTGTTGGCAAGGAGACATACTCTTCTGCATCAAGATCAAACTCTGTAGCAAAAGCATCACTGCGCCCCACTCTCTTTACAGCTCCACTGTTTGCCTCTATATGGATAATATCACCAACAGCAACCTGCAATTCACCATGAGTTCTAGCATTGGATAAATTCTAAGTTCAAAGAACAAAAACTAAGTGTGACATTTGTATAATTCAAAACTAAAAAGACTCAAAAAGACTATTTCGATAATCAAATTGATAAAAATGCTCAGATGAAAAAAATTAAAATTACTTGCAAGCATAAAAACTTTCTAGATTGGCTACCTTCTTCTTGATCAAAGCATCATATAGAGTTAGATCCAACTTCAATTGTTTGGTTCCTTTACAGTTTTGAGCCCAATAATGACGTGACTTATGCTTTTCCCATATCCTCCAGAGATACTATCAGTCTCCTCTGGAGAGAGTTGTCACCTAAAGAATGTCCAAGTTGTATTATAAATTAAAGAAAGACTCAAATGGATGCAAAAAAAGAAGAAACCAAACTTGTCATAAGAAGCCATCAAGAAAAATTAAGCACTGTAAAACCATACAAATTTACCAACTTGACGCATGAAAAAGTCAATTAAATATTTTTGGTACAACAACAATTAACATAAAATGCACAGCCTTATAAATACAAAGATTGATGAAACCTTAGTCGAAGGAATTCCATGAAATACTTGCCTCTCCTTCATAGACATCTTTGTTTTCCCTGTTACACAAGTCAATTGCTCTACGAAAATTTTTCCTGAGCACATCTTTCTTCTTAACTTCAGATGAGTACACTTCTGATCCCACCATTGGACAAAATGGAACCTGCAAATACAGAAGTTAGAACAACTTTACAAACAAAAGTAATTCATGAATTCATTAGTAATAAAAAAAAAAAAATTTCGACAACAGAAAAGGTGGCTTGTTTTCTAATATATCATCAATTCGAAATGGTCAATAGCAAATTAGCTAAGAAGACACTTTGAACCCTATGCTACATAATCTATAGTTAAAATATTAATATATAGATGAAAAAACCAAACAAATATATTACAAATTAAATAATCAGAGAAATGGAAGCCCACTAAACGAAACCAACTAACCAAGGAGAAATCCTCAATAATGCTGATGCAACAAAAACACTCTTATAAGGTTGAGGTCAAGAGAATCAATGAGAATTTTCCGAAGTCACAACACTCTCTTTCAACACCTTACTTCAATACAATCAGGTTGACACCTTATAAAAACCTTTTTCCGATTATGAAATAGAGGGCAAGCTCTTTATACTTTATGTGAAATGTGAGAAAGGACTGAAAACATCTATTGTAACTTACACTCTCCCAATTGATGGTTACTAACCCAAAAAAAATTGATGGTTACTGCAAGGTAGGAGAGATCTCAGAGGTTATATTTTTAAGTATGAGAGAGACAGTAATCCACCAAATAATGTATTAATTCATGGGCATGGTGAAAGGGGCAATTTGCATAAGGCTTTTGAACTGCTATACTCCATGCACTCTGCAAATATAGACCTGGATGCTACAACCTGTAACACACTGATAAATGGGCTTAGCAGGAGTCACAGAAAAGAATCAAGAGAATAGTTGGGGGGATTTGCATGCGGCTTTTGGACTGCTAGACTCCATGCACTCCGCAACCATAGACCCAGATGCTACAACCTATAACATACTGATAAATGGGCTTAGTAGAAGGGGTCATAAGAAACGATCAAGAGAATAGTTGGATGAGCTAAAGAGAAGGGCTTCTCTCTTGACAAGTTCACGTACACTGATATAATAGATGCACTTTCTAGAGAAGGACACGTCAATGAAGACTTTCCATAAGGTATCACATGAGTAAAAATGGGTTCAAGCTCCTAAGTGGATTTTGCAAAGCATGCCATATGGGGAAGCAAGTGATTTATTTGGTAAACTGATTAATGCTCGTTTCACTCAAATAGAGTAACATACCATATACATGGATGAAGCTTGTAACATGTTAGATATGATTGCAAAGAAGCTTATAATGCCAAAATGATATTACTTTTTGAGTTTCACTCATGACTTAGTGAGTTTTGAGGTTGAAATGGGTTAGGGAAAGCAACTATGAGGATTCAACTATTTGAAGCCATGAGTATTTTGGAACTTGTAAAGTATATTTATTTTTTCAACATATAGGATTCAACATTTATATTGGAAAAATGAATATACTTGAACTCCAATATACTCATGGTCTGACAAGGTTAAAACTTGATTGAGTTACCTAGAACAACCATCCCAGTAATTTAGGGCTTCAAGGTTGCCTAAGAAGCCCTGGCTTTGGAAAGAGCTCATGGATAACAAGGATCTATGATCTGGGTGGATCGTATATGCACAACCCCGGTAGGTTATCGGGGAGGAATGCGCTTCATGAGTTAGTGGAATGCCATAAAAAGTTAAAATTGGTTATCTATATGGTAAGCACTTTGAATCACAATCCTCTGGATACCTATAATTTGTCAATAACCAATTCCTCAACCTAAGCACAGATGGCCAATACTTACCTGCACCACAAAAGAGGAAAAGAGAGTAGCATCATGACTAGTGCTATGCAAAGCACATCAAACACAACAATGACAATCATAATAACAAAAACATGAATAGGAAATCATCATCATCATTAGAGCCTTTTTCCAACTATTTGGGGTCGGCTACACGAATTTCGGTCCGTTATTTTGCTCTATCAAGGGTCATACCCTCAGTGAGGCTATAAGTCGCCATATCTTTTCTCATTATGTCCAACCATATCCTTTAGGGCCTACCCCTCGCCCTTGTTTAGCCTTCTACTTGAACCAACTCACACCTCCTAACAAGTGATGTACTGGGTCTGCACTACACATGCCCAGCCTACCCAAGCCTATTTTCTCTCATCTTATCGTCTATTAGAGCCACATCTAAGTTCTCCCGAATGTATTCATTTTGAATTCTATCCCTTCTTGTCTTGCCGCTCATCCATCTCAACATCTTCATCTCAGCTACACTCATCCTATGCGTATGTTGTTTCTTGAAAATCTAACATTCTACCCCATAAAGCAAAACTGGTCTCACAGCTGTTCTTATTGAACTTCCCCTTCATATTAAACTGCATAATCATGAACATGAAATCATCATCATCATTATAGATTTTTTCCAATTAATTGGGGTCGGCTACAAGAATCCCGGTCCACCATTCTTCTCTATTAAAAGCCATACCCTCAGTGAGGCCATAAGTCCCCATATCTTTTCAGACTACTTCCAACCACGTCCTTTTGGGCCAACCCCTTGCTCCTTTCAGTCCTTCCACTTGAACCAACTCGTACCTCCTAACAAGTGTTGTACTTGGTCGGCGCCACACATGGCCAGCCCACCTAAGTCTACTCTCTCTCATCTTATTACTTATTAGCGCCATACCTAAATTTTCTCGAATGGATTCATTTTGAATTCCATCCCTTCTTGTCTTGCCATTCATCCATCTCAACATCTTCATCTCCACCACAGTCATTCTATGAGTAAATTGTTTTTCGTCCGCCCAACACTCCGCCCATAGAGCAAAGCTAGTCTCACAGCTATCCTATAGAACTTGCCCTTCCGCTTCATTGTCTTGCCATTCATCCATCTCAACATTCTCATCTCCACCACAGTCATTCTATGGGTAAATTGTTTTTTGTCCGCCCAACACTCCGCCCCATAGAGCAAAGCTGGTCTCACAGTTGTTCTATAGAACTTGCCCTTCAGATTCATTGGTATGTGGCGATCACATAAAATTCCAACTGCACATCTCCACTTCGCCCACCCAACTCTAATTATGTGTGCGACATCTTCCTCAATCTCTCTATTTTCCTGGATTATGCACCCAAGATATCGAAAGTGCAATCGTTACAAAAAAAGATTAAAAACGAGCAAAAATGTGGGGTATGCTAGTAATAGCAAAAGAAGATACATGCAATTATATAAATGAGATGCCTGAGGTACAAATTTCAGAGCATTCCATGTCACAATCATCTGAAATGGATTCCAATACAATCGTTCCTCGTTTTCTCAACAGTTTTTATTAGATGATGCAAGGCAATTTTTAGGATATCACGTGCATAAAACCCTTAGTTTTATTTTTTAAAGACCCCTCGTGCTAGAGAAGCTCTTTGTTTTACAATAAGCTTCACACAGTAGAGGAGATGCACCCCAGTTTGTAAACTCCTGAGCTCAATATGCTTTCCTAAGATAACCATCGTAAAACGAGCACCTTTATGCTTTCCCAAGATAACCATCGTAAAACGAGCTCCTTTCCAACTATTGGAAAGGCATTCTTTTCAACACTTATCCAAATGTTAAAAAACTAAATAATTGATTAGAATGTGATTGAACGAGTTTGATGTGGAGGAAAGCAATTCGGAGTTGGTGGGGCAAGGGCCCAGTGTCCTAGCCTAGATGGTTTTTTTTTGCATTTCATCATAATTATTGGGCAACAATATGTTAGAAAATTTTCTATAAATCCTTTTATACTGAGGGGCCGTTTGAGTACCTAAAAATCTATAACAAGGAAACATATTACAAGGAAATATGAGGGGCCGTTTGGGTACATGAAAATCTATTATAGGGAAACATAATACAAGGAAATATGAGATTTACCATGTTTGGGTACACTTCAGAAAATGGAAATAAATTACACAATATTTTCCCAAACTACGTGAAATCTATTACGCACTTAACGGGTAATCTAACTACACATGTCTCTTACCCAAAAAAAATCATCTAGCGTCTCTTACACAAAAAAAAAGCCTCTATCTGCCGCCATTCTCCCTCTCTGATGTACCCATCTATTCTCCCACCATTCTCCTTCTCTCCTGCACACATCCATTTCTACTTTCTCTCTAAACTCCGCTTATTATAAGTGCGTTTGCACATATTGCGCACATCCATTTCTACACTCTCCTACGTACAACCATTTCTACATCCCTCTATCCCCAATTTGGGTTGTAGCCCTCATTTGAAGCTATCAACTCTCATATAAAAACAATAATAATAATAATAATAATAATAATAATAATAATAATAATAATTGGTAATCAATGAGAAATTACACAACACAAGCATAATAAAAAAATTCACACAACATAATCCTCATAAGAGATTAGTAAAAGCTATATTGAAATAAGATACCTCTTTAGTCTCCTCCAATGCCTCAAAATTTTCTACTGGAATTACCAAACCTTCTAGTTTACTAATTAAACTTATTCCCATTTTTTAGCTTGTACCATAAAGATTTTGAATTTGGTATCATAAATTTATTGTTTATTTGAAATTATATAGAGAGGCATTTGAAAGACTTCTATAAAAAATAAATAAAAATAAGGCTTATCACAATAAAATCATGTTATTCCAATCTCAAAACTTTTTGAAAATATGTGGGTGCAGCATATTATTTCAATGACTTATCATGTTGAAACCAAAGTCTAATCATGTTAGCAGACATGTGATTCCATGTAAGTGCATAAGTCATGCAAAATAAGTAGGAAATGGTGTCATGATGACCTTAGGATGTGATTCCATATAAGTGCCTAAGTAATGCAAAATAAGTAGGAAATGGTGCTATGATGACCTTAGAATGGTACAAGTTATTATTAGAAAATCTTTTTGGAATGGTGTGATGATGACTTTAATTCTGCATTTCAATAAAATTTTGTGACAAAAAAGAAAGAAATGATAGTTTATAGGCAAGTGCTGGTAAAATATTGGTAATGCATTTCCCATATTTCTTCCAGACATAGCCAAACAGTAGCAATGTATTCCCCAAGTTGCATCTAAATACTACCCAAACAGTAACAATCCAATAATGTATTACGCCAGCAATATATTTCACAGACAATATATTTTCAAGTATCCAAAGACCCCTGAAAAAACTAGACACTCCTGTAATGAAATAGGGGGGACATAGAGGGGGGAGGGGGTGTGAGAGAGAGAGAGAGAGAGAGAGAGAGAGAGAGAGAGAGTAGTAGACACGACGACTAGTACGACGTACTACGACGTATTATTTTAATTTAAGAAAGAACGACTACTACTAGTACGACTATACGTACGTAAGGGAACG